GAGTGACTAATCTATAAATTTCATCCATAATGAAACCTTGGTTCTCATTTTTTCACAGAGCAGAATGACACCCAAGAATTGCACTATTGTGATAGTTATCTATATTTGGGAAAAAAAACATCTAGAGGCTTAAGGCAAGAATTTAGCACTATTGTGATAGTTATCTATATTTGGGAAAAAAAAACCATCTAGAGGCTTAAGGCAAGAATTTATCATCCATTATACCTTTTCATGCCATCCCATATTATAAAATGAGAAACTGTCTCCAGGTGTTTGCAATGAAAACATATGGCAGAGGGCAATGAGTTAATGCAACAAACAGAGGAAGAGAGAAAAAGGTAACAGTGAAATTATTTATAGTTATCTATATTTGGGAAAAAAAAACCATCTAGAGGCTTAAGGCAAGAATTTATCATCCATTATACCTTTTCATGCCATCCCATATTATAAAATGAGAAACTGTCTCCAGGTGTTTGCAATGAAAACATATGGCAGAGGGCAATGAGTTAATGCAACAAACAGAGGAAGAGAGAAAAAGGTAACAGTGAAATTATTTTGATTAGCGAAATTAGAAGCAGACATGGCCCAACAGTGGCTGGATATGGGTAAGGGGCAAAGGTACATTTTAATAAACTTTGAAGAAGGGAGTGCAATGACAGCAAATATTTATGCAAATCTTCTTTAGTTCTGTTTATGTAAAAACACAAAGTTCTTTTAAGTCTTCTATGATTTAGTTAATCAGAATTCTTCCAAGGGAATGAAATGATCATAATAATTTCATGAATACATGAAGCATGAAAATTGCCATATTTGCTTAATTTTGTTTTGCTTCATTTTGGTTTACTCTTTCTGTATATTCCAGTTTCTGCACAGAGTGTCTAGTCTGTCTTTGTACCAAAAGACTGATTTCTCATGCACGAATTGGAGTTTGCTATGACTAGAGGACTTTCATTTTGCCATTTTATAACCAGCTGTTTGTGTCTGTAAATTGCAGGTGAATCTGTGTGGAAAGTCTTCTTTTTCACTCCAAACTTCAGTCCCAAGGACTCCAATGGTTGCTATGATTCTCATGTTTGCTTCTGCCATGGAGGATTCATTACACAGCATGATCCCCCACTGCTCTTTGATCTGTCCAGAGACCCTGAAGAGAAAGTCCCACTGACTCCAGAAACAGAGAGTCGTTTCTATGAAATCCTCAGGGTCATAAACCTAGCAGTAGACAACCACACCAGATCCCTGCATGCTGTACCTAACCAGCTGTCATGGGACAACCTTCTCTGGAAGCCATGGCTCCAGCTCTGCTGCTCATCTGTCTTGCAGTCTTGTTATTGTGACTATGACTCAGGAGAGAGCCCACTGGAGGTGCATTTGGGATAAACAAGCTGCAATTCCCTTTCAGAAAATGGAAGAGAATGGGTGGCTGACTTGAACCACTGTGGTGCTAGTCTACAGGTTTGGTTGTGCTGGAGGAGGACCTGTCTTCAAACAGAAGAGAATTTCAGTAGAACAGAATTTCAGGCAAGAAAATGTGCCAAGAGAAAGAGGACAGCACACACCTTTTCTGTCTTTATAATACAGCATGAAGGACACGTTGCCTTCCTCATTTTCAAATGCATAGGCTGTAGACATTTTCTAGACTTTCAGCTTTTTTCCTACACAGCAAAGAATTTACCTATAGTTTCTGTCCATCACAACCACTAAATGCACTTTCCTGTCCTTTTTGCTGTGTTATCCACCGTTAATAGGACATAGCACTGACTAATTAAAAATAAAGATATAATAATTGAGGAGTCCACCTGTGATTGTAATTTGGTAATTGATATATAGGTAAAGAGCAGACTTGCAACAGCATCTCTATAAACAAGCATCAAGGATATGAAATAATTGCAAGATTGCTAACAGTCTAACTTTGTACATGCCACAGAAATGTCCAGAGCTAGTAGTGGAAGAACTTGTGTCCACATCAAAATGATGCTCCCCAGCTAGTGTCCCATTGCATGGCAGCAACCTTTGCTTCCAAAGGAAATCACTTTCAGTGCACCACTTGTATGCACAAGCCAATTTTATAACCCATAAATCCTTCAATCCCTGGTATAGACACACCCTTATGGTCATAGCCCAATTGATAAATAAAAGTTTATAACCCATAAATCCTTCAATCCCTGATATAGACACACCCTTATGGTAATAGCCCAATTGATAAATAAAAGACTTGGTCCATACTTGATATTTGAGTTCTAAATTCATATGATACCACAAAGATATCTTTATCTATTTACCATATTTTTTCTTCCATTGGTGAATGTAATCACAAATAAATGAAATTTGGTCTTCCTTTATGTACCCTTGCCATCATTTAAGCTCACTGAATAGGATCTATCATTTTCTGAAAATAAACTTGGGCTTGAGTACTTAAAGCCAAATATAACTGTCTCTGAGTTCTTACCAAGGCCTTGTGAAGTCTGCTGTCCTTCAGGGCTAATTTCTATATCCATTTTTATCTGCATCATATTCAGGCACATTTTCTTTCCACTCTAAAAGCAGACAAACTATTTTCTTTGTCAGATTGTAGATGAAGAGAACATATCAGGAAAATACTAAAATGATTTGATGACTGATAATAGAAGGTGACTTGCTCCTTATCAGAAAGCACCAGTTAATTCCCACATTACAATGTATTAAAACCTGTTTGGTGGAAAAGTGATCTGTGATAATAGTAATGCAACAGCTTCAGTCAGCCAGCATTAAGGTTGTGACCTGGTTCTTGTGAGCTATTGAGGCCTGTCCTGTAAAAATATATTGTGATATATGGTGTATTTCTCTGTCTGTAAAACCTAGGCTTTATTTGATTTTTCTGCTGCAGTTTCATTCAAAATTTCATTCTCTACCATATCCAGATGCCTGCCCTGGGAAATGTACTTTTTCCTTGAAGTCCTGTTTTTGCTGTTTCACCTTGTGTTCACGATCTTAAGTATGTCCTTTGCAAGCTCTCTGTAGGTGGCAAAGTCCTGTGTGTGCTGATAAAGTTAGTCTGTTTGGGTATTTCCCTGATAACCACTCAGGACTGTTTCCATTGCCCCTGGCAAGCTGTCAGATGGCCATTCATTCCCTCTATGATTTATTTAAACACTGAATGTACTACCTAATCTTCAGAAGAAAGATGCCTATTGTTTGAATACAGGTATTCTGCAGCAATAGGGTCTGCCTCTCAGTAGGATCTACACATCCCAAACTCATGATCCTCACCACATGGCCCTAGAACTCCTTGGGGTATGGTGCTGGTGCCAGTTTACCTCCCCCTGCAGCAGGTGCCCAGGCTGTGGCCAGGGTGCTGGAGCACCACAGTGTGGAGGGATTCACTTTCCAACTCCTGCAGCTCTGCCACAGCTTACACAATGTCGTGGGACAAACGCCATCACTCCAGATGTCCCCCCTTCCTCCTTCTTCCTCCCACCTTATATACTGAGCATGATGTCCTATGGTATGGAATATCCCTTTGGTCAGTTTGGGTCACCTGTCCCAGCTGTCTCTCCTCCTAATCTCCCATGCATCCCCAACTTCCTTGCCAGTGTGGCAGTA